GTATGAATATTTTAACGCTAAGATTGGTATGTGAAACTGGACTAAAGTCTTCCTGTCAAATGACACTCAAAGGTTTTGGTAAGATGCTAGTTTCTAAAACAGAATGTGAGTGATTGAGTGGGAATTGCATTTAACACTGAGGATTGACAATTCAAAACAACAGAACTCACTGATGGTCTTTTCTGGTTGTCATGCATTTCTTATTTTAATGGGACGACCAAATCTCTGATTTAGTTGATTCTTATGATGAACCTTAAATTTGTTGGTTGTTTAATGCTGACTCAGCACTACTTGGCATTTGACAGCTGTCAGCAAATAATCGAGTCAGGACCAGATAAACCATCATGAGTATTGGTCTGTGCAATTAGTATACCAAACGTACATCAAACAAGTCTGTGAGCCTGGTCACTCAATCCTGTTCGTCACCTCTTATGACAAACATTGGTTGTTAAAATCAGTTTTTCCAATGACATTTCGTGTTTTCAAATTCTTCCAAATTAATCTACTGACATTAACTTCTGGCTACTTACTGTGCCAAGAGATTAATAACTCAGCTTGGCCAAGAAGTTACATCAAAATGTCAAACTGTTATGGACAGCTTCATGAGACAAAACTTTAACTGTAGTAAAGAATGAGTCATTACTTTGAAAGGACATGTGGGTTTGATATACTGTACTCATCACTATACCAGTGAACTGGAACATCTGGAACACCTAACCTTGCCATCTTCAATATGTAGGATTGTTTTGTTATATTTGAATATTTTGTCTCAAAGTTGTGTTAAAATATTCTCAACTTCAAATACTATCCTTAATTTTGGTGTGGAATCCCATACCTTGATGTTTTATACACTCAAGCATATCACATGACTTTATTGATCACATGATCTCCCAGTGGAACAAGTATATTTCTAAAGAACATTATTAGCTCATAATTTCAAATCACATCACTTACACAGTCAAACACATTGTGTTACTAAGCATTGTGTAACAAATCATACAGTGGAACGAGCAGATTTCCAAAGGATTTAATCAGCTAACAACCACAAATCACATGATTTGTACATTCCACACATATCACATGCCTATTGATCATGTGACAAATCACTGTTGAACAGCCAGATTTCCAAAGAATTTAATCAATCCAAATTCAAATCACATGACTTGTACATTCAAGCTCTCTCACATGACTATTGATCATGTGACCCCAAGCTCAGTGTTGTGGCCAAGAGTTGATGCTGGAGTAGGTGGAAGGCATATATTGAGTGGCAAATCTGGCAAGAAGTGTGTGTAGAGTCTATTACAAGCCCAATACAGCATGGGGCTCAATATGAGATATCGGACAGGTTGCTTCTGTTGGGTAGAAATGAATGATTTGCCCCATGGGCAAGTTTATGCTTAGAGGAGGGTTTGTACTGGCAGTGAAATTAACACCTATATGAAATGTACGAGAGCTGTGGTGCCATATGGGGATATTGATGTAGACTGGGGGGTCTCGTCTTGGAGGGAAATTAATTCACAGTGTTAAACATATCAGAGACGTATTGTAGAAATGATCAGACCTGATGAGAGAAGCTGATTTAGTTTTTAAACATTTTTTTAGAAATTGCATAATGACAGGATGGTTTCCTGTCTTAGATTGATCTAAATTGGCTAAGACTTTGTTTTTGCTATCTAGCAAAACGCATCAAGATTGCTGGAAGGTTTGAGATAAAGCATCCCTGGCCTCTCAAACATCTCATGTTGTTTAATAAATTAATGAATGGAATTGAGGCCTTGAAGGCTGTATATCAAACACAATTAGACATGCAATCTTGCAGATGGCACCCTTGAAATTGGCTTGTCATTCATTGGTAAGTTTGTATATATAGTGCTCAAATTTTTATAGGGGTTTTGAGATGTTTAATACTGTTACAAAAGTCAAGGACAACAAGTGGCAAGAATGTGGGCTGATGTTCAGTGAGTTGCAGACAGGCTGGTTGGTTTGAATACTATTGGTATGACAACTATTCCAAGCCTATGACAAAGAAACAGTTCCCACATTGAATCTCAGATTGTCCCTTTCAAAAGTTGAATAATTTATATATTCCAAAATGTGTAAAACATCTCATACACATTTAATCCAGGCATTTGTATGCCATATCTTTATCTGAGGTTTCTGAAATTCTGATTTAAACAAAACCAAAAACCATTATGAATATGTCTTGAATATGTGATCTTTAATTTTCAACACTCCAACAAATGTTGTAGTCATTTTCTGAAATAACTAAATGTAAATCTTTCTTAAGCAGTATTGACCTATGATGTAAAGAAATGAATGAAGAGTGATGTATACTTTACACCCCTCAAGGGACATTACTCAATCATATTAGACTAAGTACTACTGACTGCACAACTGATTATCATCGTCATATACACAGATCAGCCCTGGAGGCATAGCTCCAAAAATTTCTCCTTACATTTTCATTTAATGTTGTCTGCTGAAGGGAGATCTCCTGTGATGGGACATCCCATCTCCCCAGCATCAGTTAGACGAACAATTAATCGATTTGGACAAATTCCATGATGAAAGGATTCAGATGGAATGATTAATTATGGCGGGATCATAATCCCTGAAGGAATGACCGAAATCATAGAATAATGGCACAATTGCTGGAAGGTAGATTGACTGATCTGTGTTTTATAGATAGGGGTCAGGGGTCTCCACGTCCACAGATCTAGAAGGGTCTTGGGTGCTGTTGGATGTTCCAACAGGAGGCGATAAGGGAGGAATTTCGAGGTGTCCACTTTGACCTTGTGTCCGTATGGGAATCAAGAGGCTGACTTCCCCTTCTGTGTTTTGTGGCTCTATTGATTGATACTAGAGTTTGTATTCATCCGTTTTCTGTGATTTATTGAAAGACTTAGTCTTGGTTCTTTAAGATTTTCATGTCGGGTTTCCGTGTGAACTGATAGGAAACTGTTTTAGATAGTTGGGTTTGTAGATGCAATGGAAGATTAGATGGATGGATGATTGAAAGGACTGGTGTTTTAAAAGATGAATGGAATGAGTTGGTAGGATGACTGGGTAAATTAAAGACTGGTCAATTTTGAAAAGATCTATACGAATTTGCTTTGATACTTTTGTCCTTTTTGATAAAAACTAATACGTTAAAATGAAAGCTATTCATAAGAAAATAGAGAATTTGACAATAGAAAATGTATCTGTCAAATATTTTATCAAATTGGTGTGGCCTTCTTCTTTAGGAGGGAAACAAGAAGTCTAAGTCAATTAGTTGATGTGTTGAATCCAGGTTTAAGGATGTATAGAATATAGACGTGGGTTACTACAGAGTATTTTCAAGACAGTAGCATAAACAGAAACATAATGCACACCCTCATTGGCTGCCCCAGATGTTTGTATTGGAGAGAACTCAGTTTGACCTGACAATGTAAAATTGCAATTATAGATCAAATAGAATAATTTCAGTTCTTAGTCATGTTGTACAAAGCATTGTTTTAATTCTTTTAAATATTCAAGGATTAGGTTTACACTTTGTATTTGTCTCTGAAACTAAGCCAGGAAAAAACAATCAACTGTAACCTGGGGCAGATACAGCTTTTTGAGAAAGGGGTGCACACTATTGAGAAAAGGAGGGGTGCACACTTCATTTTTACCTGAGTTCCAACGGTCTTTAACAAACTTTCAGCACAAAAGGGTGTGTGTGCAACCCTGCAAAACACAACCCCACCCCCCTCTGGATCCACCTATGGTAACACACATCAGTAAAGTCTACACTTGATTGAGTAAAAAATACCCCATAATTATTTAGCAGTTTTGATGCAACAGTCAGTAAGGAATGTAGATTGATCGGAGGATGGGGTGAGGGTTGGGATGGACAGATGGAGAAATGGATGAATGCAATTCAGTTGAATGAAGATGGTATAGATGTATAAATATATGGTGCTTGACCATAAAAGCTTTTATGTGGATCCTGTATTCTTCCATAGTTTGATTTCAATAATGACTTCTCTCACGATGCGGTAATAACTCAAAAGAAAATTCCAGTCGTGTTCGATTCTGTAGCTTTTCATTAAGATTTGTAGTTACAGTGCAATTTCACAAAATACGAAATTCTAAATAATTTTATTACATCATGGCATCAATATAACTGCCCCTGATTGAACTTAAAAGTTGAATTATATGCTGGATTAAGAAAAATTGCTGCTTTCATTTAATACTTTTAGTGAACCAAACGATATCTGAACATGCTGGGGAATAACAAAACAGAAATCTCCAATTCTTATGTCATATTTCAAATTAACCATGACATAAGGCAAGAATAATCCATATTGTGAAGATGGTAAGATAAAAGCCTTATGCTAGAGTTATTACAAAGGTATTATTATTCCATTTTTCATGGAATCTTGGAACTTGGGGTAAGGTATCATATCATTCTCTGCCGAATTTGTCTGAAGAAGAAGATTTACAACAATATGTTTTCCAAACCACCATACTCCTCTTTGACCAAACCGGCATAAAACAACACAATTTCTTGTCAGAGGTTGTCATGTGGACATTATTTCGAGAGATATGACGGAATAATTAATATCCATGACCAGACCTTCCTGTCCTAACTCAAAACACTTTGTCCGATTTATTGTTACAGGAGCGCAGTATCGTTTCTTCGCAGACACTAAATTCCTATTTTGATTCAATCAAGACGGGATATAGCACAGAGCTTTAATCAAGTTTAGAAAGATACGGCTAGATCCTTTATTTTTTTTACCGTGAATTTATCTGTCCAGATTGGATAATTTGTATGCAGTCGGAGTCATTTATAATAACACTGTCGCATCTGTCGAGAATGAAAGAGGGGGCTCGCAATGCATGGCACTGAAACCTGAAGCCTATTAGATTGGGATCAGGGTTTATCATAGCCTAGAGAAATCACATTTCTCCTCGCATCGGCAACTTTAGATCTTGTTAAGTGTATTGACGAGATTTCGCTTCATTTGCAGGATTCCAGATTGATCCATTGTCCACTCGCGGAATCTCCCTGATCACCTGTTGAGGAAGTATTGCCGAGATACACGGAAGTCTGTCTGGAACAGGTATGTGCGAATATTTTTATTTCCTTCATTTTGTCTTTTAAGATGTTTTATGGAGACACTTTGTTATGATAGCTGAATCTGGCTTCAGAGTATTTTGAGTTGAGATGAAGATGTTTTCATTTGATCTGCTGCAGTTGTTGCCGGAGGGTTTGGGCAGATGAAAACACTTTGAAACCATAATGTGAAGGAAGTGAGTTTTCCTTGTAAACTTCCTGACATAACAACAACAACAACGAGTTGACTTGTAAAAACAACAATAATGATACGGATCAATAAATACTGAAATTCATAAGTGTATGGTGTATGTATGAATAGCGTGTTGATATCAAGAATACTTGTTTTGTCAGGATGCAATGTAGAATGATCATGATGAATTGATAAAAGGATGTTTGAATCAACTGACGCTGCGATGACAGGGACGTTGGTATGAAGCTGATTATAGGAATGTTTGTATTTGTATTTGAGGGATTCTGGTATCTTTGAGACACTACTTCTGATGTTTTGGGAGGTCAAGTGTTTAAATGGCCCATAATTTGGTGTGTCCAGTTCTTGTCGGACCAATGGCAGGATCTGCCGTTTATAATTTTTTTTCCCCATTTCAAACTTGGTATGACCCTTCTTTTGTCAGAAATTTGTATGTTGAGTTAATACCCTTACTCATGACAGGATCTGCCGTTCATTTGTTCCTATTCGGTCTGCGATGATTGTGTTGTCAGGCATTTTCTGTGTACAGTTGATTCCCTTACCTGTAGCAGGATCTGCTGTTTGTTAGTTCCAAACCCAAATTTGGTCTTGGTATGATGCTTTGGTTGTCAGAGCCATGCTTGTGAGTTTTGCCAAGGTGGTAGTTGGTGAATCCAAGTAGAAAAACATGGACAAGCTGTACTTTGCCTTGGGATTTCTTCTCACTTGAAGTTGGGCGGTGGGGTAGCCTAGTGGTTAAAGCGTTGACTCGTCACGCCGAAGACCCGGGTTCGATTCCCCACATGGGCACAATGTGTTAAGCCCATTTCTGGTGTCCCCCGCCGTGATATTGCTGGAATATTGCTAAAAGCGGCGTAAAACTAAACTCAGTCGTCAGTCTCACTTGAAGTCAATATGTTGTTGATAATTGAAACACTATCCAAAATGACTGTGTTCAGGATGTTACAAAATACAAAAAGTTTTTACAATATTTCATAGAGTTCATTTCGTAGGATTAGTCTAGCAACTTCCATTAACTTCCAATAATTCTTGCATCATGTGTTTGAAAATAAATTACATGGAAAACAAACATTATGAATTATGCAATGAGCTATTGCACAAGTCCTTCATTTTAAAACTGCTATTATATTTTCTGTCTATGGGTATCAGTACGATCTTTCTCTTCATTTTGTTAAACTGTTGTCAAACAAATTTGTTTTAGGAGAAATGAGAAAAGGGAAATTTGGGTAAAGAGGTAGTTTATATGCATTCCAATTCAAAAGACACTCTTAGCAAGCCGTGGTCTGATCCTATCATTAGGACATTAGCACTTGTTGATACTGGTGTAATAAAACAGAGGACGACCAGTGTTGTCGAAATTGATCTCGGAAATGCGATGCATATTTATCATTTCCTTGCATTTCCATCTAAATGACAGAAAAACAGAGCATCCTGGCAAGTGTATGTTAGTCATGTGATAGTTTTGAAATGGGTTAAATGCTCAGCATCAATATCTTCTTGCAGCTTAATTCTTGTTGTCTTATAATTTGCTTGTGTGGTAAATATTTTATTCTGTGCGTTGACATTTTTGTTTTTCAGTGAAATTGTTTCCTTTTGCCCCATATTTTTTAGAAAGTTGATTTCACGTGATATTGTTGCGTGTTCAATTTTGCGCTTTATCCTAATATATCAAAACAATTATTTCCATGATGACTAGTTGAAGGAAATTAGCATTTTGACAAGTAATTATTGATCTGTATTGAGATTGCTTTTGAATACTGTTGAAAGCAGCATTCAGCGAAACTCACTCACTGACATTCATTAAACCACGCTACCATCATTATCATAAGAAAAAGAAGAAAGTGTCCAATATAAAACTGTAAACAGTGCCTTGTTTTCGTTGATGTGAAAAACCTTCACGACCTCACTGAATGACAGCTGTATGTTGAGATTCTCAATAATAATGATCACAAATATAATGAAACTACAACAGTGAGAACGATGTAATCTGTGGCAATGCTATCTTTACACAGCGAGCACGGGCTGAGGACAGATGTTGGCTTTCATTTGGATGCTGTCAGATGTAAAATGAGTTGGTTTGAGGAATATTCTATTGTGCAACACGATTGTCATTGTTGGGAACATACACTGCTGAACGAGATGTACACAATGCTTGATACACTCAGCTGGCATGTATGTTGGGATATTGTATCTTTCCCTATTGACTGGGCTGGCATAATTTGCAATAATAATCTGGTATCTGACAGTATTATGGTGCAGATTTAATTTTGCATTTATACAACAGCACACTTGATAGTTTCAGTAAAACACCCCACAACTGGCAACATCAGTAAAACAGCCTCCATGGTAGTATCAGTAAAACAGCCTCCATGGTAGTATCAGTAAAACAGCCCACATGGTAGTATCAGTAAAACAGCCCACATGGTAGTATTAGTAAAACAGCCCACATGGTAGTATCAGTAAAACAGCCTGCATGGTAGTATCATTAAAACATCCCATATGGCAACATCAGTAAAACATCCCACAAATGGCAACATCAGTAAAACAGCCTCCATGATAGTATCAGTAAAACAGCCCACATGGCAATATCCGTAAAACAGCCCACATGGCAATATCAGTAAAACAGCCTGCATGGTAGTATCATTAAAACATCCCATATGGCAACATCAGTAAAACATCCCACAACTGGCAACATCAGTAAAACAGCCTCCATGATAGTATCAGTAAAACAGCCCACATGGCAATATCCGTAAAACAGCCCACATGGCAATGTCAGTAAACAGCCCACATGGTAGTATCAGTAAAACAGCCCACATGGCAATATCAGTAAAACAGCCCACATGGCAATATCAGTAAAACAGCCCACATGGTAGTATCATTAAAACATCCCACACAGCAATATCAGTACAACAGCCCACATGGTAGTATCAGTAAAACAGCCCACATGGCAACATCAGTAAAACAGCCCATATGGTAGTATCAGTAAAACATCCCACATGGGAACATCAGTAAAACAGCCCACATGGTAGTATCAGTAAAACAGCCCACATGGCAACATCAGTAAAACAGCCCATATGGTAGTATCAGTAAAACAGCCCACATGGCAACATCAGTAAAACAGCCCACATTGCAACATGTCTCCATGGTAGTATCAGTAAAACCTCCCCCAAGACAATTTGAGTAAATAAGTCAGTATGATATCATCTGTAAAACACCCCACATGATAGAATCAGTAAAACCACCCCAAGGCAGAATCTGTAAAACACCCCACATGATAGAATCAGTAAAACCACCCCAAGGCAGCATTAGTAAAACACCCCACATGATAGAATCAGTAAAACCACCCCAAGGCAGCATCAGTAAAACACCCCACATGATAGAATCAGTAAAACCACCCCAAGGCAGCATCAGTAAAACACCTCACAAGGCAGCATCAGTAAAACAGTCCACATGACCGCATCAGTGAAATGCCCCACATAGGAACACAAGTAAAACATCGACCTTGACAGAATCAGTAAAACACCCCGCATAACAACATAAGTTTTACACATAAAGAAAGTAAAATTCTTCCTCCTGACAACTCATTTATCCAATGACTTTCACAAATGTTTCAAATTTATATCCAAGAACCAGTAATACTCAAGAAAAACATTGTTCTGTTTTATGAATGATTGTTGATTTCTTTGTTCGAATCCTTTAAGGGCTTGGTGGTATAGTGTGTACACTCTTCAACATGAAGTCAGGAGTCAGTTCCCTGCATGGATACAATTAATGGATCCTATCTTGGGTGCCCCTTACCATGGAATGTCTCAAACAGTAAGATCCAAATCACTACTCCTTGAAGGAGCTGATGTGTATAATTGAACCCAATGACAAACAGACACATTTGCTTATTTATTAGTTTTACTTATGTTTGATTCCCACTGTCTGTAATCAGTCGTGGTTCATAGCTGTCAACATGTGTTGACGTGAGACATATGCTGTCACTAATTATCTCCCTTTACTAAGGGCAGATCTGACATAATATTTGTAAGCAAGAGACCTGTTTCCCCACAGCGAGTCTAAGATTAACTCCCTCCAGACCAGTAGACAGGCAGGCAGTGCCAGTTACTTAGACTGTACTTCTCATTAACAATCTGTGTTGTGTTTTCGTAATTAAACCTAATGACATGTGCATGTGAAGGATATTTGACACACGACAGGTTGTGTATTTCGTTTGGATCCCAAACATTGTTTGGCCAGATAGTTTTCACGTTGTCGTGTTATTTACAGCGTTCGGCTGACACTATTATTGACATCTATAAACTCGGTATGATTAAGACATGCAGATGTATTGTCATGGGACGAAGCTGTTGGTAATACATGATTTTCCTAAATTGTTTCCCAAAACATTGCCTTGGGTGGTCTTGTGGTTTAGGAATCCTGAGTCGAGGTGACCTCTAGTTATGAATCTGAGTGATAGACAGCGTGCAAGGGATGTGAGCTCACTAGATAACCGCAAACATTTGTTTGTTTCTGACATTGCTTTCACAATATTCTATCCATGTAACTGTCTGTAAATAGTTGTCAAAAAGTCTGGATCTGACAGCCCAGTGATTAACATCATGAGCATGGATCCATACAACTGGGATAGAAATCACTGTCACTGTCATTCAAGTCACTGAGCCAGATCACCTGATCCATTTAGTCAGCTTGGTGATTCGGTTGAGACCATGTCATTGTATTTCTGTAGTGTGGACCACTCACTCACTCACTCACTCACTCACTCACTCACTCACTCACTCACTCACTCACTC